GATGTTTGACTCTAACCCCATCAGACAAACTATAGATTTTGCCTGTAAACTAGATGCAGGACCACTGCCTGCCCCATGCCTCAGAAGCTGAGCGTGTTGGCCTTGCCCAAGGATGTGATGTGGGGAAATGTGCCAAGCTCTCAAGTATAAACCCCATTATAGCCTTGCCGTCTGACTTGGCTGGTTTCTTCTAGAATCCTCCATTCAGAATTTCCAATTGAGTTTGGTGATTAAGGTTCTAATATGCTATGTATTACTGGTGGTTTCTCTGGGGGAAGACCTGTACTTATGCCTACTCCTAGGGGAAAGGCAACAATGGTAATTCCCGGAGAGAAAGGTCCTTTTTTGTTTTCAATTGCTTACCATGTTTCTCTATTCTGGTCATTCTTCAGCTTGATTTCTTCTATTTACATCTTAGCACCAAGTGAGCAGGACTGTTATGAGGGTGATGGGCATGGTTACCGAGGTACAGAATCAACCACGGTCACAGGAAGAAAATGTCAATCTTGGCTGTCTATGACACCACACCAGCACTTGAGGACCCCAGACAACTACCCAAATGGGTATGTGTTTGATTTCTCCCCACAAGAGAAGCAACATCTGACTGAAACTGCTGTTCCGAGAGCTCTGTATCAAGTTCAGTGCTTAGGAACACCTTGAGGAACAATGCTTTGGAGTCAACATTCTGAGAGAAGACATATTAGACACTGGTTGTCATGTCTGATCGTTTTGTAGAAAAACATGATAAAGATGGATGGAGGTGCCCAGGGTACATGAATGGAAAGGTCAAAAGAACAAATGAAGAAACATTTAGGAACAATACCAGGCCATGCCCCCCACTACAATTCAATGAAATCTTTCAACCATGCAGTTTGATCATTCCGTCCCCAACCTCCAAGAGGAGTTTGTTTATACCAATTTTACCTAGGGTTTTTAGTCAAGATTTGAACCACACGTGTATAGACACACAAAACACACACACACACTCATGTAGCCAAACAAACTGTGTCTTTAGCAGTAGTAATCTGAATGGATTTCAGGTGCTGGGACAGGAGGAGAAAAAGCAGCAGGGCACACGGGAGGCAGAAAGATACAGGTGCTGTGAAGTACAGAGGCTGAGCACGTGTACAAATGCACAAGTCTGAGCTGACTGGCGTCTGTGCCATCAAAGAGGGCAAAATATACAGAAGGAGGGTTTTCACCTGTTTGCAAGGACAGCCTAGGACTGAGCTCATTCACAATGGGAAGTAGATGTGGTCAACTCCCTCAGCCCGGTGCATTTCTTTCTAGAGCCCCATGGTAAGAGGAAGAAAGGAAATTAGAGGAGTCAGGGACACTCAGTGGGCAAGGCAATGGGTAAAC